GCTAAAGCTTTTAAATCAACTGACACTATACAAAAATTTTATTAAAACGCAGTATTTATTTTTCTAATTAAGTTGTTCGATCAAAGATTGTGTCTTACGGAAAATTATCATCACACTTATTGAATAAGTCATTATTGAGTTATTGACTTCACTTTGTCACTTTTCCTTTATCTCTGAAAATACTAATATTTCTTCGTATATTTCTTTTGTATGTCAAACCATGGGAAGCAAATATGGATATCTCATAAAACAAACTTGGATCAAAGTTCAATTGTAAAAATATTTGTTTAATTGATTCATGTACGACGCATACAATATTCAAAGAGAAAAAATATTTCTCTCATTTAAGTATGTGTAAGGCAGATGTTACTACAAATTTCTGGTAGTAGTAATTTGATTGAAGGATTTGGAAGAGCTGCTATAACTCTGCCCAAGGGAACAATACTTATATAGATAATGCGATGCTCTCCTCCAAGTCCAAAAGGAACTTGTTGAGTTTTAAAGATATCCGCCGAAATGGATATCATATTGAGACGATAGATGAGAATAATCTTGAATATCTCATCATTACCAAGAATGTCTCTGGCCAAAAGAGGGTTATTGAGAAGTTCCCATCTTTATCTTGTGGCCTGTATTGGACAAGAATTAGTGCAATTAAGGCACATTCTATTGTAAACCAAAAGGTAACCGATTCCAATACTTTTGTACTTTGACATGATCGATTGGGACGCCCTGGATCAATTATGATAAAACGGATTATAGAGAACTCAAATGGGCATCCATTAAAGAATTTAAAAATTCTTTTAAAAAATGAATTTTCTTGCACTTCTTGTTATCAAGGCAAGTTAATTATTAGACCATCACCAACAAAGGTTGGGATCGAGTCCCCTCCGTTTTTGGAACGTATACAAGGGGACATTTGTGGACCTATTCACCCATCTAGAGGGTCGTTTAGATATTTTATGATCTTAATAGATGCATCTTCTAGATGGTCTCATGTGTGCCTATTGTCATCTCCCAACCTCGCGTTTGCAAAATTAATGGCACAAATAATTACGGGCCCAATTCTCCGATAATCCAATTAAGTCTATTAGACCTGATAATGCTGCTGAGTATTCATCCCAAGCATTTAATGATTATTGCTTATCAATTAGATAAAAGTGGAACATCATGTAGCTCATGTTCACACTCAAAATGGCTTTGCAGAGTCTTTAATTAAACGCCTGCAATTGATAGCAAGACCGTTACTCATGAAAACGAGGTTGCACACTTCTGTTTGGGTCACGCCATTTTGCATGCAGCAATGCTAGTTCGTCTCAAACCGATAAATTATCATAATTATTCTCCGTTGCAATTAGTTTTGGGTCATGAACCTAATATATCCCATTTAAGAATTTTTGAATGTGCAGCATATGTGCCTGTAGCACCGCCATATTGCACCAAAATGGCTCCCAAAGAAGGTTAGGAATATATGTTGGGTTTGAATCGCCCTCCATTATTCGCTACCTCGAAACATTAACGGGGTATTTGTTTACTTCACGATTTGCAGACTGTCGATTCGATGAGACACTTTTCCCAAAATTAGGGGGGGAAAATGGTGAAACCAAACGGGAAATTTTGTGGAAAAATCCATCATTGTCTCATCTTGATCCACATACCTCTATTTGTGAAAAAGAGGTGCAAAAGATTATGCATTTGCAAAAAATAGCAAATCAAATGCCAGATGCATTTACGGATCTGAAAGGATAACAAATCACATATCCCTGCAGAGAATGTTCCAATCCGTATTGATGTCCCTGTTGGACAATCTTCTAATGTCATAGCTAATGAGTCAAAAGCACGCCTAAAACGTGGCAGACCATGAGGTTCTAAGGATCGAAAACCTTGAAAAGGGAAAACAAATGATCAAGATGACACTACGAAAGAGTCTCATGAAGAAATCCACGATTTAACCAATCCTGAGATTCATAAGGAAATCACTGAGCCTGAGACTTAAGAAAATAAGGAACTATCAATAAATCCAATCGATATTGAGACAAATTTGAATCGATTGGATATAGTTGTGGATTATGTCTTTGCATATAATGTTGCATCTAGCATTATGCAAGATAGTGAGGATCTTGAACCTCAATCTGTTGGAGAATGTCGACAAAGACGTGATTGGCCAAAATGGCAAGAAGCAATCCAATCAAAGTTGAATTCACTTGAAAAACGTGAAGTTTTTGGGCCTGTAGTCCAGATACCTAATGGTGTTAAGCCTGTTGGCTATAAATGGGTCTTTGTACGCAAGAGGAATGAGAAAATGAGGTACAAAGATATAAGGCACGCCTTGTTGCACAAGGATTTTCACAAAGGCCTAGTGCCGATAGAACTCCAAAAGGCAATTGATTATTTAAAGAAAGAATTCGAGATGAAAGATCTCGGAAAGAAAAAATTATGTCTCGGTTTGCAAATTGAACATTTGGCAAAGGAAATTTTTGTTCATCAATCAGCCTACATAGAAAAGGTATTGAAACAGTTTTACATGGATGGAGCACATCCATTAAGTACTCTGATGGTTGTTCGATCACTTGATGTGAATAAGGATCCATTCCGACCTCAAGAAGAGAATGAAAAGCTACTTGGTCCTGAAGTACCATATCTTAGTGCAATTGGTGCACTAATGTATCTTGCTAATACTACAAGTCCTGACATAACTTTTTCAGTTAATGTCTTAGCAAGATATAGCTCTGCTCCCACAAGAAGACATTGGAATGGAATCAAACACATATTGCGGTATACTAAAAGGGACTACCGATAGTGGGTCTTTATTTTAGTGGACAATTAATTGCACGTCCCGTATTCGTTTGGT